CCCCCCCCCCCCCACTACTGTAAACTTGATTACAGTTAAATTATATGCAATTATAAAACTGCGAACTGTTTCTCAGAATATTCCACCAAAGTGGATCTCTCCATGAAAACCTGAGCATTCCCACACACAGCTTAAAACACGGCAGATACTAAAACGTGTCTGTTTCGCAGAAAAAATAAAACAGCTTGGTTTTTGGGGACGCTGAAGGGTTACCTAAGTGGCGTTTAGGGTGATGGAGTGTAACAGGGACGGAGCGGCCTGCTGCTCTGCGCCCCCCCCCCTCATCGCCTCCGCGTGACCCTCACACTTTCAGTGTGGGTTTCTAAAAGCTCGGGGAAAATGTAAATCGGAATCGCGGCAAGTTGTATGAAAGGAAAAGTGCAAGCTGATGATTACGGGATGCTTTTCCCGACCTTCCCCTGCCTTTGTGTCCGTGCTCTTGCCGGTGGCTGGCCCGTGGCCCCCAGCCGGCCGCCCCCCCCCCCATTGTACTGCACGCAGCCCTAACGAGACCGTGACATCGCCTACATCCTGCCGGCGGCTCCCTGATCCCTCCGCCGACTTCAGAGGATGGGCGCACGTCGCATGGGGAGCTGGGGGATTGGCTGGCAATCGGCTCCCTTGGGGGTTAATTTAATCCAACTCTTTAAGAGGGAAAGGGGGCATTCTGTGTTGGGCCTTTCTGACCGCCGTGCTGGAGGAAGTTCAGACCCTTGGGGTGTTTTGGTGGAATTTTTTCCCCAGACAGATCCACAGCTCTGTTACAGATGCGCTGAAATCTGCTGTGTGTGTGTTTGGCCAGTGCAGCAAACAGCCAATGCTGGATGCAGGAGATGGGTTATCCCTCCCCTGTGCTCGTCCCAGATGTCCCGTCTGGGCCCCCCCTACCTGAGGCTGACGCAATTCGCTCCATCGGGGGGACCCGGCAGCCATGGTCTGGGCCTCTTGTGTCTCGTCAGGGGGCATCTTCCAGCCTGGTGGTGAAGTTCGCCGACACGGACAAGGAGCGCACCCTCCGGAGGATGCACCAGATGGCCGGGCAGCTCGGGATCTTCAGCCCCATGACCATCCAGTTTGGCGCCTACGGGGCCTACACCCACGCTGTAAGTGATAGCTGTGCATGGCAGGTGAGGAAACGTCATCACACATCGCGCACACACACACACACACACACACATCGCACACACACACACACACACAGGCACGCGGCTCAGTGTCATTAATTGTCATTTTATATGTAGTTCTAGTTTTTCGAATGTGAATCGGGACGGCTTAGCCGCATTTAGCATCAGCATAAAGGAGACCAAGGGCTTGGACCTCGTGGACACAAAGGCCTGAGCTGAGAATGTTAATGTTCTGATGATCTGTTGTACTCTCTGTCTCTTTCGCAGCAAATGATGCAACAGCAAGCCGCCCTCATGGCTGCAACCCAGGGCTCCTACCTGAACCCCATGGCAGCCATCGCCGCAGCACAAATGCAGCACATGGCGGCATTCAACGTCAACGGCCTCGTGGCGGCTCCCATGACACCGTCCTCAGGTAGACAGCCGCGCCCAGTCCTGCCCCTCCTCAGGTACACAGCCGCGCCCAGTCATTCCCCTCCTCAGGTACACAGACGCGCCCAGTCCTTCCCCTCCTCAGGTACACAGCCGCACCCAGTCCTGCCCCTCCTCAGGTACACAGCCGCGCCCAGTCCTGCCCCTCCTCAGGTACACAGCCGTGCCCAGTCGTCCCCCTCCTCAGGTACACAGCCGCCCCCAGTCCTGCCCCTGCTCAGGTACACAGCCGCACCCAGTCGTCCCCCTCCTCAGGTACACAGCCGCGCCCAGTC